GCCTGATAGCAATGGCCTCCAACCTAGTAGCAATGGCCTCCAACCTACTAGCAATGGCCTTCAACCTAATCACTAGCAATGGCCATGTCTTTTCAATATCATTTAGATTCTTGTAGATTGGTGGATGGTGTAGAGAAACTTGCAATCTTCCAGCCATCCTTTACAAGGTTGTAAGCACTCCCACAGGTTGTATGCTAGGAAAAGCCGTGTGGCTGCAACCAACCCGTTGAGCTAGGCATAGCCAAGATGCAAAGATAGTTGTCGACAAAGGTCCCATCAGCAAAGCGTACGAGGAGAGAAGACTTGCCAACACCTCACAGTGCCAAGCATTTCGAGGCACCTTAGATTCTACCTCTGGTCATTTCCCCATCTATTGATGTCTGTTGTGTCATTGCAGAGAGTGTCAGACACTGCCAAACAAAGGTCGCTGCTTGGGGGAGAACCAACTGTTTGCAAAAAGCACTGCCAAAAAGCAGAAGCGCAGCACACGGTTGGAGGCCATCGCTATTCGGTACGGCGAACGGAACAGCGCAGGTTTACGGATGCATCCAGGTTGGCCACGCCTGCATCACCAACTACCATGAACTTCAGCAGAAGGTCATAGTCAGCCATGTGCATAAAGGCAAACAGCAAATTCCAGACTACAGCTAACACAACTTCATCATACTTCATCTAGACAAGGCAATACAACCAATGAACCTCCAAAGAAGAACCACAAACTGCTCTCTGCTGCTGTTTGAATACACTTGAATTGACCCTCTGCGCCCACAACACTGAAAAACCACCACTACTCATGTAACGACTCGAGCACAAAGCGTCACACAAAGCACCCCAATTCGCCCTTCACAAGTCTCCTCAAATCAATCGGCACAAGCGTTCACCGTAGCCATGTTCACCATCCTCAAAAGTCCCACTTTGAAATGGTTGTTTGCCGTGTGCATCTTCAGTTCGGTTCGGATCGAGGCCAATTCGATGATTTGGATTTTGAAGCCTGTCGGACGCAGAAACGCTATTTTTGTTCAATCTCCACCTGGTCAGGCCTGCACAAAGGACCAACCCTCTCGCCCAACCTCTTGCCCACACCACCAATTCCCACGCGGTTCGCGGAAAAGCTCTGCTGCGGTGGTGAGCTCAGTGGATTTCCCAAAACGTGGCCAAAGGCCACGCGAAACGCCGTAAGACTTTGCGGGCTCCCGGAACTCTGCACTGGTGCCCAAAGGGAAACGGAAAAGGATCCCTGACACACGGCATTTCTCTCATTCTGTACAACGGAGATGCCGAAAAGGACATGGCCGGTTCAAGTTCTGGCTGAATCCAAGTCGTTCAACACAAGCCCAGTAAAGCCCAGTTCCAACACTGTGTGCTTCAGTCTTTAAAGATCCGTCCTAGTCTGTAATCAACCCTTTCGGACTGGTGGAAAAGTGTTCTTTCCTCGTTGATTTTGGAATCCAAAGTCATCATACTCATAGAGCAATTATTTATCCATTTTGAGAGGCTAACTTTAGTCAAACGTTGAAGTCAGCCCTGGATAAAGAGGCATTTGTTCATCAATGGACACCCACAATTTCTTCCAAGGCTTGTACCACTAGTATCAAGCTCTGTGAGTTTATGTCTGACTTTTCAGCCCTGTCCTTCAGTCGAGGCAAAACTGTCTAGACACAGCACTGAACTTGTGCCACACGTCGACCAGCACCAAGGATGGTCCTGCGCGACGAAGGTCGCGCCACACGGACAATGCGGGACTCCACCGGGATGGTTCCCAATGCGTGACTGCCAGTGACTGCCATTCGACGACACAGCAAGGACCGCGCAGAAAAATAAAAAATGCGAAGGGAACAAAGATTGGATGATTGGACCCATGTCATACATTCTACCCCGAATGTTGGAGGTGAAAATGACAAACATTCTAATAGCCCATGTCATCTACTTCTACACTGCTTCAGTGCCCTGCTGGCCGCGTGGTCAGCTTGTCTCTTTTGGCCGGGTTGTGCTGCGAATGGTGCGAATCGGCTGCTTCTCACAACGTCTAGTAGCCACAGGGTGCAGGACAGGTGTAGCACCAACAGTAAATACAAATCCCCAACCCTACCCATGCCAGAATCTGACTCATGACCTTAGAGTGAAGTCCAGGAATCAGCGTGGCCGTTTTGGCCGCATAGCTCGGGAACTGCTCTGGATAGCGCTTGGCCAAATAATCGTCGGAGTTGGGAACCACAAACATGACAAAAGTCCAGATCATCATGATAGGAATGCTCAGAGCACAAGTGGTTCCACAAGCTAAGCCCCAGCCCGTGTAGGTAAAGAGGTCACCGAAATAGTTGGGATGAATACACCAAGCGGCCAGGCCCACGGTGTGTAGTTTCCCTTTGTTTTCAGGCTTGGCCTTCCATTGGAAACGGCCCACCTCGTAGGCAAGCGAATAGCAGGAGCCGCCCAGGTACAAGGCCAGCCCAAGGAGGTCGCGACCCTTGAAATGGACGTCCGATGTCATGGTGCAGTATCCAAACATATATGCCACCGTCGGGACAATGAGAACATAAACTACAAAGAGCATACAAAGAGTCCCTGGGCAAATCCATGTGGCTGTTTCTTGTCCCCAAATCTCAACGAGGGCCTTGATGAGAAAGATTGCTCCTATCAAGCACAGCACGGTGGAATGTTTCACAAAGTAGAAGTAGAGGAGCATTTCAGCGACCAAAAGAACTGAGCACAGACTTTGCCACGCTCTACGATTTTGCTCTCCACCAGTCCCTCTCCACTGAATCCACTTTCTGAAGTCTCGCTTCAAGCCACAACAGCATGTCGGTGTATCCTCCAAGAGTGGTTCTTTTGCTTGAGAACCCATGACGGCAACTGGTGGCCTGATACCAAGAACGGAACGGCAGCGCTGCTGCTGGTGCTGCGACTGAAATGGCTGGACGGTCAGGTCAGACGGTCAGATCGTCAGGCACGTGGTTCATGTTCTAATCTGACTGCTCTTAGCACTCTTCTGGTGCATTACTTTCTGTGCAACCGGCAAAAGACAACGAAGCAGCGACCATGTCGTTATTCTTCGAGGTGTTTGTTACAACGCGTTGCTCCTGGTTCCAATGGAGGGGTCTGGATCTTGCCGGGCAATGCGATCCTTGATCTCCTGTCATTACACCATGAAGCCCAAAAGAAAGAGTGACGTAAACTGTCCACTGTCCTTGGCCATCGCATGGAAGGCCTCATCTACATTGTGCCTCAAACTGTCAGGATGTTGAAGCGCTTCAGTGGATAACGACGGGATTCGTACAGAGCATAACGAAATAAAACGGTCCGGGATTCACGAGGATTCGGACATCTGAGGACCATACGCATGCTTGGCACTCGTCTCCAAGTATCGTAGACCCAGCTCTTCTGCCAGTTCCCTTGCTTCCTCCTCCCCGACCTGTTTTAACGGCTCAGGTGGCCCAACGGATGTCAGAGCAGACGTCTAGAGTTGGAGGCCGCAATTCGCGGCAGAAGGCCATTGCTATTAGAAATCAAACAACAACATGAAAAGGAAGACAGACAGGTTCAAGAGCTTCATCTCGTGCATCTTTTGCAATGTAAAATGCGAGTGGATCTTAATCAGCGAAGTTTGAAGCTATCACTGACGGTCCATAAGCGGCGTAGCGTCGGAACGGAAACCGCACCTTTTCTAGTCGCTTGATCCTTGAGCCAAAGTACATATGGTACATATATATATATATATACAAGTTGCACTGTACGTGTCACTGCACTTCCATTCGCACCCCCCATGTGAACGGCAACAATATGTTCCGATCACACACGAAAATTTAGGGATGTAAGTGCTACAAAAAGAAATTGTATGATTCGCCGCGAGACTCATATGAGGCTCATACTACAAAACATGCTGGACTAAAGCGGACTTTTACATATAAAGTGTGCAACTATGGCTCAGAACCTATGAAAAAAAAATCGAATTGAACAAGTGAGACAGTCACGAGGCCTCGCTCAGTATCCACTCAAAAGAGCATCGCTTTGATGTAGATCAGAACTGGTGACTTCCACGTAGATGTCACATCGGCAACTGACTTCACACTTCTCAAAAGATATAGGTTTTGGTTTGGATACACCTACAGAACGGCAAGCCGGAGAGACAGTCGGTGATTGTCTTCCTTCCATTATGCTCATGGTATCAAATCAGATTGACGATTTGCAATGATACACTTACAGCGTTTCAGGTCAGATAGACATCCGGTGAAAGACTTCCTCCCTGGTTTGCATGGTATCCTCATAGTCATTCAAAGAAATCACCACTGGTGATAACCTCTCCATCCATGATGATCCCAGCTGCCCTGAGCATCCCACCGATCATCTTCTCCCTTCTTGGACTTTCCCTTGGACTTGCTCTTTCCCTTCCCCTTTTCAGAAGGTTGAGGTACTTCACGACGTTCTTGCGTTAGCGCCGGCCTCCAAGATGTTCCAGATTGGCCTCCTCCTTTGGAATGTCCTCGGGATGATGAAGAAGTTGTACCTTCTGCTGCATGTGCGTTGGCGGCAAGGTCTTCCTGCAAAGCTTGCTCAAACACATCGGTAGCACTGGATGGTGATTTATCACGTGGTCTGGCTTTAAGAGCAACCTTCGCCTTGTTCTCCTCTGCTGATGAGGGCCCGAGATTCTTAGGTGCTGTTGAAGGTTTTGGCTCCTCACTTGGTGCTGACGACGGCTTGGCCTCGGTTCTGGGTGTAGATGCTGGCTTTGCCTCAGCTCTTGACAAAGATGCTGCTTTCGCTTCAGACTTAGTCGTTGATGTTGACTTAGCTGTTGCCTTGGCTGCCTGCTTCTTCTTGCCCTGAATCTCCTTGGCCCTATCTCCAAAGCCTAGACGATTGGTAAGAGCTTGAACATGCTTATGTTCTACCACGCTCATCCATCTCTCTGTATGTCCAACGTTGGGGTTTCTGGCCATTGACTCTATGACTTCCTGAGCTTGTGGGGGCAACCTGATCTCATGTTGATCAATGATCAACAGAATAGACTTCTCCCACTTTCTCTTCATTCTCGAGTACATGATGTCCAGAGGATCGATCACCTTGTGGTAGGGTGATGTAACGTCGGTTCTAAAGTAAGAATATGTCCGACAACCATAAATCGCATGGATGCACTTCTGTACCAATTCAGTCATTGCGCTGGCTTTCTTCGCTTTCAACTCCTCAAGCTGGGCATCAGTCAAGTCGGTGGAGTGTTCGAAGTTGCCATATTCCTCCTTGAAGGAGTTCGGAGTATGACCAAATGATAGGATCATGAGTGCTACCTTGCAAATGAATTGCTCTCCTCTGAATCGGTGCCAGGCCTCCTCAGTCGTAATATTGTTGTCGTTGGCAAAGGTTAACATCATATCATCTGTTGGATCCAATGGTCTCCCATCGTCATCGATTTCAGTGGAATCTCCTGTACCGAACTTGCTTATCACGTCCAGACGCTTCCTTTTCCAATTTGCTTGGAAGTCGGTAAGGCTGGTGCAATAGTAGCTCTTGTACATCAGGGAGATCATGTTCAGCACACATTTGACCACATACCTATCCATCAAACCCGATGCTTTCACGGAGACGTCCTGACAGTAGGCTCTCTCTTGATGCGCATAGATTCGAGGTTCCGGTACTCGACAATAGATGGGGAGATCTTCGTTGTCTCTTCCTTCTTCGGGATTGAACTCGGTCGCTCCATGCTGTGCATAGTATCCCGGTTCATCACGATCTGTCGGTCGATTCGCCTCCGGATGTAAGTCGTCGGTGACGTCTTCATCCTCGGGCTCACCATCTTGACGTTTCTTCCCCTCATATTGTTGTGTGCTCCTCTGGATCTCGATGATCACGTTTCGTTCGTCTTCATCTTCTAGATCAGAATCACGACCGTAGTCGATCTCGTCCTCATTGAAAGATGGGGTCTCGACATTGTCACTCTTGAAGTTTTCTGCACCATCAGACGGTTTGGAAGGATCTAGATTGTCCATGTCCTCGTCGTCGTCAGCTGCTTCAGTTTGAGCGATGTCTTCTTCCCAAGCCTTTCTGATCTCGTCCATAGTGGCCTGGTCCAAGGTATCTTGAACAACATCTTCAGGCTCCTTCTCTTCCTTCTTTTCCTCTTCATCGTCGGTCACAAGATCGACGGGTGAATCGGAAATGACAGTGTTGCGAATACCACACGAGAGTAGCCTGCCTTGACAAGATAGACACACAGACAAAGATGAAGAAGTCAAATGCATACATGATGGACACAAAATATTGCCATCCACGTTGCGATACCCTTCACATGTTCTGGAGATGATTTCGTCCCAAGTTTCCTCACTGATGGAATCCTCGATCAGCTCTCCATTGTCATCGAATTTCACTTCATCGATAAGGGACACGAGCTTTTGGACGTTGTCATCTGTCGCCGAGGCTGACTTCGTGACTTCGTCGGCTCTCTCGAGGATGGTATGCTTCTGAGCAACCCAAAGCCCATGACGTGCCGCTAGAACAACTTGCTCTCCAGTGCTTCCCAGCAGGAGTCTCCTCCATGCCTGAACGTGGTCGTCCCAATACCAAGCACCTCGTACACATCTCCATGGAACTTCTCTAAAAACAACAGTGTAGGAATTCTCCGAAATTCTCCCCCCAAGCTTCCTCAAAGTCATGATTGGAACATAAAGGCAAACGGGCATTCCCACTCTTGGCCATCTTGATCTCAGAATCTTTGATGATCGATCATCCCACGGCGCAAAGTGGTTGAAGAAAACACTACCTCTATATCCATCCGTTCCACCAGGGACAATTCCTAGTTTCATGATTGACTCAATATTGGAAAGCGATGTCATGTGAAAGCTTCCTCCAAGCTGCATTGCCACATTCTCTGGAATGAGATGTGAAGTCCACACAGGATATATTGACACATCCTCTTCAAGAATAGTCTCTCTTCCAGAATTGTGAGAGGCAACAGCTCGAATTGCACAAGGAACGATCCAACGTTCATGCTTCAGAAATGACGGTGCATCTGTGCTGTAATACATGAGGTTTGCCCAGTATTGCCTTTCCTCTTCGAGTGAGACATCCTCCTTTGAGATGCGAATGGCGGCAATCTGATAGCGCACTCTGTTCTGCAACTTCTTTGCATGCCACATCGCCTTGCATAAATATTGGTATCGCTCTGTCTTGGTATCTTGCTCACGTTGAGTGCCTGAGATAGTACTGATATTGACACCATCGTTGAAGACATAATCATATTCCAGGGTCTCATCGATGTTCACCCATCCACCCTCATTGCACTTCGGGGACACATGAGGTTTTCGACCGCGGTGCGATTGAATCCCATTATGCTTTCCCACTCCATGCCTGAGTAGTCTATTGAGTCTATGGCTAATCTCGTTGACCCACTGACTCTCCTCGCTGGACTTGTCGATGCGAGTTGCTGGGTTCATCTTTGGTGGATCCGTGAAAGATGCATCTCTCTTCGGTCCATTCCAGTACTCCACATAGAATGTAACTCCATACTGTGGAATTATCTCGATGTTTCCTCTATCGCAAGCCACCTCAATCTGCCGATACCCAACCTTTTGAAATTGTTGTGGGTCAGGAGCAAGGTCCTTCACTTTGGGCATCTTTATTCCGAGTGCTGCAGCCTCCTGAATAAGTGCATCAAGTTCCCTCTTTCCATCGGGACCTGATCTATCAACCTTGTGATTTGCGACCCTGTATTCTCCTCCTTCTTTGTCATCGGCAATGTCAAAGAGGTCGACGGGCTCTTTGAATCTGGTGACGAAACTGGCGTTCCCAAAGGCCTTCTTGGTTGCCTCGACCGCTTTCGCGTATTCCTCTTTTGCAGAGTCTGACGAATGTGGTCTACCTTTGGCTCTCGGAGAGTAAGGTGGTACCTTACTTCCTAGTTCCGGCTCTTCTTCGGGAAGTTCAATATCTTCATCATCCACATCCATGTAGTCCTCGTCTTCGACGTCTTTGGATGACTTTGCTTTCCTCTTTCGGCTTTCAACATCACGTCGGATGATTGCCTTGTCGTCCTCGGTGAAGCACCTGCGCATAGTGTCCTCCATGTAAGAAAATGATTTCATCAACTCGTTCTTCTTCTCAGTGTCGGGACAAATAGCCAGGTGATGTTGGTTTGAACCACAACAATAGCACACCATTTGGCTCTCTGCGCGTGCTCTGACCCTTCTGAGGTTGTCATAGGCGGATTTCCAGCTGGAAGCTGTTGCTGTACCTTGCCCACTGCGCTTGGCAGCTCTTTTCCGTTCCTCAGTATCTGGATTCGATGTCGGGTAGTGTGACCATGTTTTCGTCGGAGATACTGAACGACCTTCCCCTTCCTTGTAGTCTTGCGGATCAAGCTCAGGCGTAGGTGGTTCAGGCTCCTCGACTCCTGGAGTGGTACTCGCAGGGTCGGCTTCG